ACAAATTGTCTCTGTACAAAATAAGCATAAGAAACACCTCCTTGGGTTTTGTATATTATGCACATGGATTTTTTTCTATGAACTTCTTAAAGGCGGTGGCTTTACACAAAAGCTAAGTATGCGGCTCCTCCTTGGGGTGTGTCTGTGTTATACATCACTGGTTTTTTTCTTGTAAAAAATGTATGAAATGTATAATATGTTTATGCACAGGTATACAAAATTTCTCTTGCTTAGTTAACTGCCGATTTGGTTGGAAGTAAAATCATCTGGTGTTTGTAGGTTGTTCCAGCATGGTTAAACTGCTTGCCAATTAAAGGTGATTTAATTGAAGCCAAAGTGGTTCATGACCAGCTTTGTTCCATGGTTGAAAGGTAATAATGATTTCAAGGTTTTTCTCTGATTTGCACGTACTTATTTCTTCCATAGAATATTAATCTAGCGTCCAAATCTAACTGCAGACAAGACACGGAGCTTTTGGGCCCTAACAATCAATATCTTCCTAAAATCGTTGCCGTATTTGCTGAGGTTTGATTATTATGAGTTCAATAACCAGTTTTCTTCCTTTCCTGTAACTTTTATGTTTCTTGTTAAATCACATTGTTTATTATGTTTGTCCTGATAAATATAATCAAATGGATTACGCTGGATAACTTTGTTCTTCTGGGACTTGTGCTGTTCTACGAGGTTGATTTACTTTTGACATGGCTCTAAGTCACAAATGACTTCGAATTAGGAAACTATGAGATATGTCACAATCTTATGAATTGATATTAAAGAAACCTTTTTTTTATTTATTGAAAGTGGTTTTGGAAATTTTTAATTCCTGTATCTCCATAGTGCTGTTCCCCACTTCAAGATTAAGCATGCAACAAGAATGATAAGAGACCTAACAGATTCGTCAGGCCTGTGCTCTGTTGTTTATATTTTAGTTGAACTAAATTCCTGCTTAGATATGCATTTGTGCTAAACCAGTGCTCCCAAAGGCCCTTTAACCACCATGTTTATGTGCCTTACTCCCCTCATCCAGTAATTGTGTAATTTTCAGTGTAAGAGTTGGTTTATAAACAACTAGATGCTTTTTTTATATCAGAAATGCATGTAGAATTTACACAAGCACATAGATATAGTATTAAGTATAGACCTGTGTACAATGTTCTTGAGGAAAGATCCTTTCATGATGATGTAGATATAAATTAATTAAGTAGGATTTTAATATATTTCAGTTAAGGCCTCAACTGTGGAGCAAAAAGAAACATGTAGCAAAGGATGACTTGCCAATTTGGTAGTATTCTTTGAATCCTTGCTGGAGAATAGGACAATAAAATAGTTGGCGAGTCATCCTTGCCACATAAGTACCCCTTTTATGCTTGCTGTCAAGAATGGACAAGTCATCATCACCATCATCACTTTATATATAATGCAGTCCAACTAGCAATGAGTAAAAATGATAATCAGAATTGGCTGTTGACAAATGCTTCAATGTCGGGCGAAAGTGGGAGATACTTAGACGGCTGTACCCGGTCCGAAGAAAAGAGGGAAGCTAAGCGGAGTATTGATTGAACAGAACCCGTGAAGGGTTATATAGATAAGAAAAAAAAATAGTGGATCAATGAAAATACTGCATTATATATATCTTGGATCCAGGCCAGTGCCATGGGATGATGAAAGACATGCTATGGATGATCTATGCACACACACACAAAATACTTGTGTGTGTATATATATATATATATCTATTATGTACAAAGAGCTCTACATAACAAAAATTGCTGATCTACATAACAATCATTTTTTGCAGGTTCTGTGTGGTAAAGATCTTGCAACTGAACAAACTGCAAGTCGAATGGTCAACCTACTGAGGCAGCTTCAACAAACATTACCACCTGCTATTTTGGCCTCAACTTGGTCATCCTTGCAGCCTCAGCAACAGCTTGCACTACAGTCCATCCTCTCGTAGTAGTATATTGGCTGACAAGAAGGGTTTTTGCGTGCTTTGTTGAGTCTCAATATCCAGTTCGTGTTTGTTGAGGCATGTTTGTTGCACATTCTTTGCCCTAGATATGGTCCGAAGCTTCATGGTTTTTTTAGCAACAAGCGATCGGTTTGATTGAGCAGGGGAATTATCATTGCTATGGAAAGCTAAATGAATCCCTTCTGTAGAATGTGTATATTATTGATTGCTATTTATTGTTGGGTATCGAGTCC